AAAAAAAAACAAAAACTGAGGGAAACACGTGAACTCTTAAAAGTAAGAGATCGTGTGCGTCAAAAGGTTGAGTGTCTCCTGCTTCACATCCGTCACATGTCATGCGAAATCGCACTTATTCAAAATATCACAATTGGAATAAGAACACAATTGGTAAACAGAGCAGACCACTATACATATAACTATAGATAAAAGACTACAAACACCCTTGTGAGCTTAAACACATCGTATCAGTAAACCAATTCGTGATAGTCATCGATTTAAGTCGTAATTCCTCATAATTCTGTTAGAACAGTTTTTGTGTAAGGAGCACACTTCTGTTAATGAAGTCCGTATAGTGTGAACATGCACGAGCGTAACTTATTAACATGGATATGTAAAGCATACGATGGAGCAGAAGTTGAGCTCATCATACATCGTACATTATGAATGCCTGTCTGAATGCATGACTGCACATCTGTGGTCCATTCAGATGAAGTGTCCAGTGTTGGTTTTCTGACTTTCACTTTCCCCGTTTTCTTAAATAGCCCTCAACTGCATCATTCAGTGATCTGAATTCTTCTTCTAATTGAAGGTTTGGGAATTCGTTATTTCTTGCCTTTGACTAACAACGTCCCAAGATGCCAAATTCCCAAATTATGAAATGATAAGTGAAACTATATTTTAATGGGAACTTTCTTGAGGACAAAGGTCTCCAACACTCTCATGAATGTCAAATTAAGAGACCGTGTGTGTCAACATGGTAACTTAAATGTTATAAGTCCTTATGTAGTATCAAGATGTCATGTTCAGAATCGTACAACATGTAAAACATTCATTCTAATTAAGTCAAGTTTTATTTCTGTTGAAAAACAGTGATGTTTTGTACTAGTAGAGACACTCACAATGATGTTACCAATAATGTTAAAGCAACTTCACAAACAAAAATTTCATGAAAATAGTAATTTATATATCCAATTAAGTTAATTTTAAAAAATGATCTCAATCATTAACATAAATTGAGACTAGCATAGTATTAACCAAAATATATATGCTATAGGTTAGCAATTGTGATCGTGAAAAATTTCATCAGTTTACATCCCTCCAAGTATCACTTAAATATTCACAGTCGGCAGAAGTGATATAGACGAACGACAGCAAGACTTTACTTTTAATTGTGAACACGTGTGAATTTGAAATTTGTTGTCCAAAGTTCCCAAAGAGGCCATTGTTTTTTATTGATCTCCCTCGAGTGAATTTACTTCCTGTTAAAATAAAACGGTTTCATTACTATTCTTCTTCTTGAATGATTGTGTTTCAGTTTATAAAATGTCTTATTGTTTTGTTATAACTCATATGGTTGTTGTCACATGGACAAATACTCGACATCTCTCTATATGTTTACTCATAGATTTCCTCCGTTATGAAAAACAAATTTCCTTCTATGTGTTTTCATACTTTATGATATCTGTTCATCATTTGTAATGCAAAAGAGAGGCGTATAATACCAGATAGGCATTCAAAATTATAGGTCGAAATAAACTGGCAACTTAACCACTTGATACTCTTGTTTTAACAGCTTCCTTCTGAGCAGCAGATACTTACTCCATATGCAGGCGCTGTTGGAATGCTGCCTCATAGAAATGGAAAGTTCACAATTGAGAAGCTAAAATCATCTCTTTTGTCGTAACGTTTTGTACTCAACCGACCCTCATTGTCACTTCTTATATGCAAGTCAAGATATGAGGCAGACTTAACTGTATCTGTTGTATCCTTTATTTCAAGTTCGATGGGATAGTTGCGTTAAATATAATCACCAATCTTTGAACTATATAATGAGGAGACATCATCTATACAGCGGAAACTGAAGTTAAGGGTTAATGTTAACTTCTTTCCATTCTTTCTGTATATATATGTAACGGAAAGAGAATTAAAAGAATAAAAGAGAGGCGAAAGATACCAAAGGGACATTCAAACTCATAATGCTAGCTTCCATTTATTTTTCCTGCGTCGAATGTAGAAATTATTTTTCTAAGTTTAGAGTTGGTATCTGTTGATTCTGATATTATTCAGATTCTTATATAACATTTCATATGCAAGTGCAGGGACGAAGGTTGGAATCATACGGTCTAAAAATTGATTGTATTAATCTATATTATTGTACTCTTTCAAGATGTTTTCTGTTTTCTGTTTTGTACATGTTCGGAGTCTGACCTTCTGTTTTGTCTTATTACACTTATAAACTAGAGGCTCACCTTGGTCTATGTGCATTTCAAACAAAGGACACTCCCCAACATTGTTAACGAGAATAGATTTCATGACAAAAATTTCTGTTTTGTTGATCTTGTATCGGTGATCATTTAGGCTGTTTAGTTTCTCTCTATCTTCTTTAGTTTTTGCTCAAAACACAAAAGAGGCAAAGGGCAATCGCACCTATAAAGAGTGACAGTCTACTAACTATATTGGTCAAATTTGAGTTATTAGTAGATCTTGACTTCTTGATATTTTTTTGTGATTTAAAGTGTCTATTTATCTATTATAATTTTTATCATATAAAGCAAAACGCCAAAATAATGGTAAAAATCGTCATTAAAGAGCAATAAGTCCAATAAGGAGTCGTTGAACGATTTCCTTCATACTGTCTTAGTTGTAGATCTTATTATCTTAATAGTAAATCCTAGTGTAAAAAGCAAAAGAGTTTTTGTGTTTGAAGTTTGGAAATGTAATTTATATTTTGGTGATAAAAGTGCTATCATTGAAGTTTATGCAAAGACATTTTTGTTATACTTTTTTATTCTTATTCTAATAAAAAAAAATGATAGACAATTAAAAAAAAATTATTGGCTTCTTTGTCAGATTTAACACTTGTCAGAAAACACTATTTGGTTAAGTCAACATTTAGCGTGAATGGTTTCTGTTTTTGTGGTTTTCGATTAAATTTTTTTCTGGTTTTTGTTTTGGGTTATGGTATTTTTTGGCAATTTACTGTCGTTGTTACACTTTGATTTCTTATATTTCATGAAATATTTTCATGGTATATTATCTGTTGTATCAGAATGATGTCGATAGATGCCAACTACTGCACAGAAACTGCCTAAGGGTTAAGTACAAATATAATTTTGCATTTTGTATTATTTGTTGAACTCATGAAAAGTAAAAGGGAAAACTGATTATTTCCTTTTATGTAGTTCTCTTGATACATTATTTTGTTTCCATCAAGATATCTTTTCTTTTGTACTTCAAATATGACATTTCACCTTCGAAACATATCTAATACTCACGAAATTTCTATTCATTGTTCGAAAATATTTTCCTTTCACTGCTTAAACATGTCGTTGACATGGTTGAGTAAATTATATTTTTCTAACTCTGATGCTATATAACGTATCCATCTTTGCAGGGTATCAATATTATAAGGTTTGAAGTTGATTGATTACCTCAACTTCTCTGTCTCTAGGATGAATTTTGCTTTCTTTTTTTTACATGTCAAAAAAGGAAATAACAATCCTTCGAAGCAAATACTTATTTAAAAAATCAGGCAAAAATGTTATTTTGTACAACCAAAGGTATTATAAATTAAAATTGCTGTGAATGTTGGGCCATGTAAAGCTTTGTAAAAAGTAATTATTTATTAACAAAATGTCTTGTATTGATTCAATATGCATGAAACTTAGGGTCTGAATATACTGTGCTAAAATTTGACAACATAGTCTACAAAAACTATCCATACCAATTTTACTGCACCATAGAAAAAAAGTAAAATAACAAAAATACCGAACTCCAAGGGAAATACAAAACGGAAATTCAAAAATCAAATGGCAAAATCAAATGCTCAAACACAGCAAATGAATGGAAAACAGCTGTCATATTTTTTACTTGGTACAGGCATTTCCTTGTGTAGAATATGGTGGATTAAACCTGGTTTTATAGCTAGCGAAACCTCTCACTTGTATGACATTTTATTGAATTCCATTATATTGACAACAATGTGTGAGCAAAACAAACAGACATAATAGGTTAGGCCGTTAGTTTTTTCAATTGAATTGTTTCATATTTTTCATGTCGTGGCCTTTTATAGCCGACTATACAGTATGGGTTTTTCTCATTGTTGAAGGCCGTACGGTTGCCTATAATTGCTTACATCAACTTTATTTGAACTTTGATGGATAGTTGTCACATTGGCAAACGTACCTCATCTCCTTATTTTTATATAAAAACGTCAAACATTGGGATACAACAGTCAACATTGTAATATAGTCTTTATCACTATAAAAACAAATAACTGTTTCAACAAAGAATCACAAAATGGCATATAGACAAAGTACATATTAAGCAAAAATGAAAGACAAGAATTCAAAATTGACCATAGCACAATAACACAATGGCAGGATTTATAAGTACCGAGCCACGTCATGAGTATATAATCAAAAATGGACTAAACAGTAAAGGTTAAAAATATACAAGGACAAAAAAGGAAGAATATTTAAAAGGATTGAATTTCCTCGGAGTTCAGTATTTTTATGATTTTACTTTTAACACGTTCGAGGAACGACAAGTAGAGTTGTATAAGGTTAAAAATATACAAGGACAAAAAAGGAAGAATATTTAAAAAGGATTGAATTTCCTCGGAGTTCCGTATTTTTGTGATTTTACTTTTAACACGTAATTAAGATGATAAACGACGTCAGTACCTAGAATCTATACTTGAAGACCATCATGTATTATTTGTGGAGTTGAAACGGAATATTTATCAAAAAAGGTCTTGGTATCTTTTAATGAACTTTTTTTAGAAAAGAACAAGACGTTCTTTGGCATAACCTTGGCTCATCAATTTTCTGCTCAGACACTGGTTACGTTTTATAAAGTCTTAGTAGCAACTGCAAGCTCTTGAATACCATTCATGGACATGCAGGTATAAATCCAAGTCAAGAAAATCATGTTTGGTAAATGAGAGGCAGAAATACCAAACCAGCCACTGTGGAATCATTGTTATTCGTGGGGTACATATAAAAGTAATCAAAGAATTTTAATCTTTATCGAAGTACAAATGTTCTTTAGTCTTATATGCAGGCCTCTGCAAAAACACGAGATCAAATATCCACAAAAATACAACTTTTCTCAATGGAAAATTTTTATGTCATTAAAAATTAAATTATTTTAATTGCAAATGTTGAGTATATAACAGTCTGGCATTACACATCAAAACCATACATTAAGTACATTTTTTTCTAAACAGGCTACTTTGTTATTTTTATTCAATGTTTTCATTTTAACATCGAGGTTAAATGTTCTTAATTGTTTTAAAACATTACCGTTTGGCTAACATTTTGCAGCAGTAAATCCAAACAACACTTCTTATCGAAGTAAATTGTATAATGCAAATTGGATCGTAAAGAATAAGCTTAGTTTACATTCCTTCAATAATCACTAATTTATTCCTTATTGGCAGAAGGGATCTCGCGGAACGACAAGTAGAGTTTAATTTAACATTTGAACACTTGTGAATTTTTAACATGCCGTCCAACGTTTGTAACTCGGTTCTCAAAGTGTCTATTGTTTGTTGCAAGGAATGTTGATCTTCATCCAGTGAAATCACTTCCTGTCAAAATAAAATAGTTTAATTACTGTTTCATATTTTGAGAGAAAGTTTTTGATAAAATATATTACTATTCAAAAACTAAGGTAACAACTCCATTTGTGTAAACAGAGATATAGGACAATGTAAGTTGTGTCTTAAGCTATATATCAACGAGTGTTTTGTATTTAGGAATTTGTTTGGTGATGACAGATCTTTGATTGTCTCTGTTTGATGTATTTGCTGGTTTTTTTCTAGTCTCACGCTATTTACAGCTATACATATTGTATAGCCAGTTCTATATTGTTGACCATTAGTTGACCTGTAACATATTGTATAGCCAGTTCTCTATTGTTGACCGTAAGTTGACCTGTAGATATATTGTATAGCCAGCTCTCTATTGTTGACCATAAGTTGACCTGTATACATATTGTATAGCCAGTTCTCTATTGTTGACCGTAAGTTGACCTGTATACATATTGTATAGCCAGTTCTCTATTGTTGACCGTAAGTTGACCTGTAGACATATCGTATAGCCAGTTATATATTGTTGACCGTTAGTTGACCTGTATACATATTGTATAGCCAGTTCTCTATTGTTGACCGTTAGTTGACCTGTATACATATAATATAGCCAGTTCTCTGTTCTTGACCGTAAGTTGACCTGTATGCATATAATATAGCCAGTTCTCTGTTGTTGACCGTAAGTTGACCTGTAGATATATTGTATAGCCAGCTCTCTATTGTTGACCGTAAGTTGTCCTGTAAATATATTGTATAGCCAGTTCTCTGTTGTTGACCGTAAGTTGTCCTGTAGATATATTGTATAGCCAGTTCTCTATTGTTGACCGTAAGTTGACCTGTAGATATATTGTATTGTCAGTTCTCTATTGTTGACCGTAAGTTGACCTGTTGATATATTGTATATCCAGTTCTCTATTGTTGACCGTAAGTTGACCTGTTGATATATTGTATAGCCAGTTCTCTGTTGTTGACCGTAAGTTGACCTGTAGATATATTGTATAGCCAGTTCTCTATTGTTGACCGTAAGTTGACCTGTTGATATATTGTATAGCCAGTTCTCTGTTGTTGACCGTAAGTTATCCTGTAGATTTATTGTATAGCCAGTTCTCTATTGTTGACCGTAAGTTGACCTGTATACATATTGTATAGCCAGTTCTCTGTTGTTGACCGTAAGTTGACCTGTAGATATATTGTATAGCCAGTTCTCTATTGTTGACCGTTAGTTGACCTGTTGATATATTGTATAGCCAGTTCTCTCTTGTTGACCGTAAGTTATCCTGTAGATATATTGTATAGCCAGTTCTCTATTGTTGACCGTAAGTTGACCTGTAGCTATCTTTTGTTTCTGAATCGTTGGTTTGCTGTTTTTTTTACGTGTACTCCAAATGTCCTTTAACCTTACTTGTAATGTAAAACCAATTTCAGAGGGTTCATTTACGCAATTAACATGTCAATATGTTGAAATTCGCAATACTAACAAAAAGTCGAATAACAACAGACAGTAATGAAAAACAAGATCACAGCAAATAAAACTAAAGATTGAGCAAAACGAGCCTCACCAACAACCGATGTTCTCCATAATGATAAGCAGTGCCTGTTCCACTTGTTGGACATGTTTTGTGCTCATCAAAAGAAAATATTTGGTTACAAGTCGCTTTTGGTGATGTTATTTTCAAGGGAAAGAGAAAAGCTCATAAATATTTGTTTATAATGATGAAATTGTACATTTATCTAAAGTTTCAATCCTCTAACGAGTTGAATGAAAGTGTAGAGGCGAGAACTGAAGTCTCTGCAGTGATAGTATATTTAAATAAAGTTGTAAAAAAACATATAATTATACAGTTTGTTTTATTTACTTTTTTGTTACAGACGACAAATGTCCGTGTGTTTCCGTACTTATATTAGAGAAATGCTATTCCATTATGAAATTTTATCTAAAAAAGACTGAAATACTCAATCACTGATTTGGTACTTTTTCCAGTTCTGCTATTCGTGATTTCTGTCTTGTTCTTGTACGCACTGCTGATCTTCTGTTCTGTTCTTTCCGTCTGTTTCGTTTAAATACTTCTTCTTCTGTTAACTATTTGAAATCAATATTATTCAAATAATTTATCAACAAACAGGAGTAATTTTCATATTTTATGAATGTTTACTTCACTAAACGTAAAATCAATAATTGTCCTGCAATTAAAGCTAAAGCATCAAAACAATAATTAAAAATTGAAAGACACTAAGGTGCCATCATAAACTGTTAAAAACACACGTGAACACAATATGTTTGGATAGATCAGTAGTTGCTGTTCATCATGCGAAAATCATTCCTTTTATCGTAGTAATGGAAGGTAATAAGTCTAATGCAGTATTAACAATGACAGGGGAAAAGAGAACAGTGACTTGAAAGTATGAACTTTACCAAACAAAAACAGAAATATATGTATATGCACATGTATCATATATATACTAAAATATCAGACAGTCTAAATGAGTATGTTTAAAAAAAAAACGCCTTTCACATTTTATAGTGTCGGGGCTTTTATACGGTATGGGTTTGACCATTCTGGAAGACCTTACGTGTACCTATAGTTGCTGAAATCCGCTTCAATTGAACTCTATTGGATAGTTGTCTCATTGGTAATCATACCACATCTCCTTGTTGTATACCTATTCCAAAGATGATTTATTTCCAAGCAAAAAACAAATCAAGTTTTTTAAATCCTTTTTTCCAAAGAACAAACACAAGGACCTAGTTTCACTTTTCTATAATTTAGATGTTAGATGAATTTTTTTTTATCGGTTCGGGATGCTCAGTCTTTATTTTTCTATGTTGTGTTATGTAAACTTGTATGTATTTTGGTCGTTTTTCGTTTTTGCCATGGCTTTGTCATTTTGAAATCGACTTATGAGTTTGAATATCCCTGTGGTATCTTTCACCTCTCTTCAATGACATTTCATGACAACACATGTACAGCAGTGATGACTAATGGACTAGTTATACCGTTATAGTTGGTGTATGAATATCATAAATGACCCTGTTACATTCTATGTTACAAATAAACTTACTAAATGCTTTACAGGTCGACGATGATCCACTTTTAATTCTTCCTCTCCCGATATTATCCTCTTACACTGAATTTTTAATTTGATCTCTTCCTTTATTAAAGGGAGACAACTGTCGTCCTCGAGACATTGTTGTATTGCGTTAACCATTTTCTCGTCTTCTTCATCGTTAGTGTTAGGTTCTTCAAGTTCTTCAATTTTTTTTGAAACTTTCATCTGGAAAATTTTTATGGATGGAATTTATTAATCTATACATTTTTAAACTAAGTCTTGTATATCACAAAATATAATTACGTTAAAATGAAAATGAATTTCAAATGAGTTCAATGATGATATTTTCTATCTTATATATTTTATTATATAATGTTGTTGTTTGTTTGAATCCCTTTTTTTTAATTCGTTTACATCTTTTCAAAGATAAATGCATATTTCGAACATTAAAATTTAAAAAATCCATTTCTTTGGTACTGTCACTGTAATCAGTATATTGTAGCAAATGTAACAAAGAAGCGAAGGATACCAGAGGGATATTCAAACTCATACTTCGAAAACAAACTTGCAGTGTCATGACAAGAAAAGAAATACGATCAAAAGACAAATAACTGTATACAAAACACAACATAGAAAGCTAATGGCTGAACAACACGAACACCGCTAAAACGGGGATGATCTGAGGTATTCCGGAAGGGTTAGCAAATTTTGTTCTACATGTGGCATCTGCCGTTTTGCTCATGCAACTACAAACCCCGTGTTAAAACTTAAACGATACGTCACATTCATTGAGAAGAGGACGGGATTGTAACTACGACAATTAGAACATATCTGTGGTCGGGTTTGATATTCCATTACGGTCAACCAATTCGTGAAGGCGTCCGTAAAATTTTCGAAGGTGTGGTTTCAACATCACCACTAGGAGCGCTTGGTTTAATAGCTCCCTTTTAAATAGCAACCTTCTATCAGCGAAATCATTATAGGAAACGCAAGCGCTCTGGAATAATTAAATGGTTTAATGAGGAACGATGTTTTAAAGTTTTTTTTAAATCGTCAACAGGTAAAAGTGCGTTTAAACCAAAGGTATGAGAGTTTAATAAATTAAAAGTTTAAGATCATACGAAACCATCGGGAAAACAAACTGGTCTATGATCAACTTCAAAACAAAAACATTATTAATGAGCTGAAAATTTAGATTAATTTATTTATTTCTGTACCAAGCATTTGCCTTCTGATACATGCAAATAGAAGGAAATCGATATTATTGTTATTTATACTAAACGTACATGTATTTGAAAGGCGGAATTTGAAATCTAAGCAAAAATAAAAATCAATCATCTGCCCTTGAATTTGCCTATTGTTATAAAATAAAAGGTAGAACAATCCTTCATTGATTTTATTACGTAACTGCTAATTTTAAAGTATTTCAAAGAGTTAATTTTAGTTCATTGAGAATTTTAAGATAATATATTTTGAAGGAGGTTATGATTATTTGTCTTTCCGTTACGTACACACTTATATTGTTACAAACATCTATCTGTGTGCATTTCTCTAGTTCTTTTTCAGAACTGTACTTTTTTCCAAACGGTTGATAATTTTTTAACTTGCAGTTCGCTTAATTTCAATTATTCGTTTATCAAAATTCAATGATGACGTATTATTTTTTTCTTTTTTTCTTTTGCTATTGTGACGTCAAGAAAAGGGCGACCCAGCCTCCGACGTCTCGTAGAAAAAGTCGGTGTCTCTCTGCAGATCATTGAATAAGGAACAATAAAGTTTGTAAACAAATCGTCTTGAAATGTTTTGAGAAACAAATTGCACCACCGCGTCTCTTGAGATATATTTCGCAACTCTCGATAGGAACAAGTCTCGTATATTACATTTTAACTTAAATTTACCCGATAAGCGAAATAGCGTTTCACATACGATGCAGTGATATAATCCATATTAGTAAAGATTGCAACATGTACGTTTACAGCATTTATATTTGTGCAATGAAGTAAAATTTTCTTGTTTCAAATATAATTATTCAAAAACTAACTTTTTATACTAATGAATGAATATAACAGTTTGTTACTTTGGTGCGTCCGAAGCAAAAACCTAAAAGTTTGAAAGCCAAGAATGTACAGGAACTTGAAAACATGAGGACAAAAGGGACGACTTTGGTTGATGGAAAATGAACTTTAGTTTCGTAATAATTCCAAAATTTATCAACGCATAGTTTAAGAAATCTATTGTTATGAAAGAACATCAGTCCAATATTCGCCGCATTGTACATATTTTATTTGTCCGAGCGCAATAACTTTTGAATAAATATCTTACAAGAAATAAGGCATGAGATCGTTAACAATGTTATTTTCCATATAATTTTTTATTTCCAAAAAGAGTTAGTTGGCATTCTACCAAGACTTTATTGATGTAAGCCTGGAATATACATTTCATAAAAATTCGACAAAAAATGACTATGTGAAAGTGCTTACATTGCAATGTTTAATATAAATCAAATCTCAAAGAGATATACCTACTGTAAACTTGATTTAACAGCGATGATTTAAAAAAAACATCCTAGACATTACTAATATAAACCTTTGCTATAAATATCCAACAATAAAAGTAAGTGTGAGATTGCTTACAATTCAATACCCATATACAGTTTTTGTCAAACTACACTGTTATTTCTCCACACTCCTATTGGATTATAATAGCTTATTCATCTAGTTGAACACTAGAAGTTTAGAGAAAAATAATTTTATTGTGCTGTATCTCCACTATTTTTTATGTATTTTTGCTGTAAAATGACAAAATGTAGTACTATGCTTAAATTGATTACTAAATTTGAACTCAATTTAGGAGCTATTCTTAGCAAATCTAGCAGTCAAGAATAGCGGATATTAAACAGTTAAAAAATCCATGGTCTATCTCTAATAGAAATATAAGGGTAAATTTCTAAAACAGCATTGTTTGCAGTGAAGTGTTTTATTTCCAGAAAAGGGGATGCTTTGTTTATCTAAGTTGCTTGTATGTTAAAAAAACCAATCAAACAAAGAGTTGTACGTCATGTACGTCAATTTTATTTCTTATAACTTTGCATGTCTCAGTCAAATATTTATAATATTGCGCTTTTAAACTTCATATTCAATTTTCCAACAGATAGTAAATTGGAAAATACATCATTATAACACTCACACAATGCAATTTTCCATATAATTTATATTTTTAAGGAGCATAACCGATTTTCCAGCTTGTTCGAGATATTGCTAATACAAAATTTTGATATAAATTTCATAAAGCTCTGGCAAAAATTGTACAGGTAAGAGCGCTTAAAGGACCGGACAGACGCTCGGAGAGACGCATGGTATAATTATGCCCCGCACCGCGATGCATAGGGGTCAATAATCATTTCAAAACCAAAGTTTATGAGCTGATGATTCGCTTTTGGATCCAGAGATTGTTACAAATGTATGTATCAAACTTATTGGACCAGTTTGGCCTTTTTTTTTTACACAGCTTACAATATCTTATAAGAAGCAAAACAATCTAGGACTCAAGCAAACTTATTTTTTTGCCTGAAGTGCACACTTAAATATGTAACCTGAAAGGAAAACACAATAATATATAGTTGTGATAAACAAGCTTGTATTATGTTTATTGGTTCCTTAGTGGGTTTTTTCCGTTCACAAAATTAAAACATACGTTCGTATGTTCGTTATCTTATTTCACTACTAAATCGATTTATGAGATTAAATCGGTAAACTACTGTTGCCTATAGATATGATTAATAAGAAAACAATATATAGCTTCTTAGGTTTTATATAATCTACTTTTCCTTTCTTATATGTGTCTGTTATTTATTCACAGGTTTAATCCTACATGTTTTTTTTCATAAGGAAATGCGTGTACCAAGTCAGGAATATGACAGTTGTTTTCCATTCGTTTGATATGTGTGGGATTTTGCCATTTGATAAGGGACTTTCCGCTTTAAATTTTCCTTAGAGTTCGGTATTTTTGCTATTTTACGTTTTATTATACAGATGCAATTTAAATCACTTTACAGTAGAGGACATGCATTCATTGTGTAAGATATAAAATGAATATATAAGTATAAAAGTAAGAAGATACGGCATGATTACCAATGAGAACTTTCCACGAGAAACCAAATGACGTATAAGTTAACAGCAAAAGGTCACCGTACGGCCTTCAACAACATGAACAATGAGCAAAACCCTTAAAGACCTTTTATTAACACATAAATTATTTGTGTTTTTGACATTTAAAAAGAGCAATTCACTTAGCAAAAATTTAAAAAAATAACCATTTATTACGTTGATTTAATGTTTTATCACAGGTAAAATAGCTACGGACGTAAAACGTCCGTATTAAACGGATGTTTTACAGACGTTTAGTACCACGGACGTAAAACGTCTGTTGGTTCCCATCCGTATTACGACCGTATTCAACCGTAACACGTCCATTATACAGATTGTTAAATTTCGTATATTGTACGGTCTTTTAAATAATAGTGACATAGCTCAGTATAACCACTGTATGAAACAAAACAAATATAGTATAGACATAATATTTAGATTTTTGTAATTTTTTCCCTTAAGACAAAGAGAGAGCCATAAAATATGATTTAAATGTGTTGTTTCTTATTCCTCTAGTTGTTCTCATACAACCATGTCCGGGTAAATTCTGTTTTATCTTTTGTTCATGGTTTGTTATATTTGATGTGATGGTATATTACTACAAGACGGTGTTGTACATATCACCATGATCTTCATCTGACCTTAAACTTTGACCTTGATTTAAAAATAATTGATTTGTTTAACATTTTCTGTTCGTAACATAACTTTTCAATTTTTTGACATAGGCTTTTGATAATTGCCACATGAGTGCAACACCTAAATATGATATGTCGCATACCATAGAAGGTGACCTCTGACATTGATCTTTGTTAATGTCAAATTATTGATTTGTATATGTCCACACTAAAAACCATTTTCTTTTGCCATGGCAAGACCTTTTCAGGGTTATTAATGGTTTACCCTCTCCCGCAGGAAATACATTGTGAAATATTTAAAAATTATTCATATACCTACCCTTAAACAGTATATATTCGTAATCGTGATGTCAACCCTTTCAATACACAAAAGAATTTGAGGGCGCCGTTGACTAGTTTGCAGGTGCCCTATAGTATGACAATGTTTGTCTGTCCGTCAACACTT